TTCCGGTTTACATGTACTTATGTAACAGCTTTGAACACACTTAAAATATATCATTTAGAAATCTGTTAGCGCACAATAAATTTTAGCGTTCAGGGGCTCTTCCGCAAAAGGCGCTAATATTAGTAGTGCGCCAAATATTCTCGTTTTACAGTATTTAAGCACTGAATTCATATTTTGGGATATATTATCGGTCCTATAACACACCTGGCCGTGCCGACAAATTGAATACTGCCCGTTATTCTTCTGTTTACCATTATTTTTATATTTAAAAAGAAAACTTGAATAAATATTATCTACTTAAGACAACTCCTGAGGAAATTTAATTTTAAGTCAATTCTTAAGCACTAAGTATATTTACGAATTACACTTAAGTATTCCTACAAAATTTAAGTAAAACTTAGTGAAGTTAAGTAAAAATCATGGCTTAAGTGATTTTTTTAAACTTTAGAATGTACTAAGAAATTTTATGAATTCCGCCCCCTGTCTCCGCATTGATATGACATATGATTTAACATTCCCATTGGAAGATATTGTTCAAAGCAGGCTGATGACAATAAATTTGATGATACTGATGAAAAGTGATGCCCGCTCCTATGCTTCTGATCCCATCTTTGGAATTTTAGTATTTGTGTTTTATATGCTCTATTCTGAAATTTTCCTTCAAGTTCTTAGTAGATTTTTGAGATTGATTTCTCTTTGGCATTTCAACCTTTTTTCATTGTTCAGTATATTCTTTTAGTTAAAATGTAAATTGTTTAAAACTTACTTTATGTATATATGGCTCAAACCGAAGCCAGCAATTCGGAACTTTTAAATCCGTTTTTTTTCTGAACAATACAGTATGTTTCCATGGTTCTTTATTTATTTTAGTTATAACACAGTGAGGTAAAAATTAATTGGACTAATATATCATGACAGTGCTACAGTTTATATAAATATTTGACCTATGATTTTCCTTAAGATTCTAAAATTTTATGTACATGATCTTTTCTATATCTAGGTATTCTATTTACTTTACTGTTCTAACTCTTTGTGCAGTGATGTTGTATACGCGTATGATACTGAGGGAATGAGAAAAAATTTGCAACATTTCTAAATTTAAAATGAACATATTATCAATATGTCAGAAATTAAAATAATATCTATCAACTGTCAAGTTTTACATGATGCAATGAAAAGAAGAAATGTCTTTCGACAACAAAAATGTAGTATTCTGTCTTATCGACACTCATTTTATAGACGGAATGGAACAAATCATTAGAGATGAGTGGGGATATGAAGCTTACTTTAGCTCCTATACGTCGAATTTAAGAGGAATTGCACTTTTTAAAATTATTACTTTTTCTTTTAAGGTCCATGATCAGTTTTTAAATAGCTCTGGTATCTACTTATCTCTACAGATTACAATAGAAGGAAAACAATTATATCAATGATTATATATGGACCAAATGATGACTGTCAAATATTTTTTAAAAAATATATCCAATATGATTACTAGATCAAATAATGAAATCACCAAGGGCAAGACAAGTAGTACTTGAGAAAATGAACACATATAATTTAGTGGATATATAGAGAATGTCACTCTGATAACAAAAGATTAACATGGAGGAAATCAAATCCATTAAAACAGGCAAGGTTAGACTTCATACTTCTTTCCAACTCCCTTTTAAATAGTGCTAAAAATATGACATTTTCAGATCAATGAAATAAAGCATGGAAAAGGTTTATGGAAATTCAGCTACCGATATTCTCTGGTGAAGGAACCTGACTATATTGAATTAATAAAAAATCATATTAATGCAATGAAAAAACAAAACGCTGTTACAATATACCTAGGTAATTTGTAGGTGAGATGCCAAACTCTGAAATTCAGTTGACTATCAATTATTTCTTTAGACATTTTTTATGGAATTAAGATAAAAAAAAAAACAATATCATTTGGAAGTTACATGTATATTAAAAAAAGAATATACGGAAAGAAAAAGATTAAATCCAGGTTATATCCAAACTTGAAAAAGAATATGATTGTGCTATAGAAAAATAAACTGAGAAAAAAGAGAATTGTATGGAAAGCCGTAGGGTACCCCCACATTATTATTATTTTTTCCTATATATCTATACCAAAAATAATTATGTCATCGAAACTTGCTTTTTACAACATTATTATTATTTTCCTGCAACAATTATAATCTTCTCTGTTAAATGTGTACACATTATTATAATTGTGTCCTACAAATATAATGATTCACTTCACAACAATAATCTTGCCAGTCAATATGTAGACACATTATTATAATTTTTCGCCTGATGATTATAATATTGTCAGTCGATGTTTATCACATTATAATTATTTTGTCCTACAATTATAATGATCCAAACTTTACAATAATAATCTTGCCAGTCTAGTCTATGTGGACACATTATTATAATTTTTCGCCTCATGATTTTTAAAAACATTATTTTTATTTCACCACAAAATTATAATAATTATTCCTACTTTACAATGATAATCTTGTTTGTCCACAAGTATACACATTATTTTTATATTTACAATGATAATCTTATTTTTCCATGTATACACATTATTTTTATTTTCAACATACAATTATAATCTTTTCACTTCATATGTGTGTACACATTATTTTATTTCGCTTCAAATTTTTTCCTTTTATATTTCCACTGAAACAATTGAACAGAATTATTATTTTTATTTCCGCTCAATAATCTTGTTCATCACAGCCATCATACAATAATTATAATCTGTGGTACTCCAACAACAATAATAATCGCGACCAGAAAAAAAGATGCAACATTATTATTATTTAGACGCTTGACAAAACCAAACGTTTGTATGATTCTGATGCGCAGTACAATTATAATCTTGACTTTTACAAATTTCTGGAAAGATTATTATTATTTGGACGCTTGACAGAATCAAACATCCTGTGGATGCAGATCACCACGTGCAATCAAACCACGTGAAGCATAGCGTTGACAGCACCCTACTGAGCAAGGACTACTGATAAACTGACAAATTGCTTATCGTATATGGAAAGAGGTAAGGCTCATGTAGGAACCGGGGATTTTATTTAACTTTGGGGGGGGGGGGGGGGGGGGGGGCTTATCAAGGAATGGTTGGTAGTTGATAGTCAACTGATAATATATGGCTGCATCCCTCTCCGAAAAAAAAGTTTAGAATCTCTCTCTCCAAATAGCCCCTTTGCCCAGGCTTTGGAGTATAAAATCCCGTATGGACTTTTTATTTTGAACTGCTGAGAAATCAAATCTCCTAATCAATAGGCATACAGAAAAACTTAATAGTCGACCAAAAGTTATGTTTTTTAAAAGAAATTTGATGCGGATATATGATGTTCCACGTGTGGATCAGGAATTGAAGTTAGAGGGGGCCCCAAAAGTAAGCAAGATGTCTATGGGCTGCCCTGGTGGGGGCCCAAGAAGTCCGGAAGCTCCTGGATTATAGAGATTTTGAAGGGTAAAAATGAGGTCTATCAAGTAGACCTATTTACATTTTTGAGACAAAACTGATTTACGCTAACATTGACAATTTTAAGAGGTCGTTCGGTTGTGCCCCTCCCATTGAATCCGCCACTTGAATATGATGTATGCATGAGATCTTTCGTACTTGCAAGCCAATAACTGATTAGTGGTGGGTCTAGAGAGGAGTTGCATCCAACTGTTTAGGATTTGCTTTAAAAAGAGAGGGGGAGTCAAGAAACAGATTGTGTTTTGACTACATTTGAATACACACTTTGCAAAAGTCATGTCCCTTGGTCGCCATATTTTGGGAAAATCCCATAGAATCCTTACCGTAGCCTTTTAATTTTTGTGGTTTGTAACTTTTAAATTTGAATTAGAAAATTATGTGTATAATGATTGCCCAAAGATGGGGCTATCTATATATATATTAAAAAAAATTAAACTAGTGGATTTATCAGAACATGTCCTAATCAGTGTGCGCCAAAAGGACTAGCCCGATGCCCGAACACTAGTAAAAATTCGATCGGGCTAGTAGAATGTAGCCCGATTGGTCTAGTGAAAAGTTGCATTTAACATTTATTTGTTGATAAATCTTTAAATGTAATAAAATAAGTATAAGAATTCTTATTGTTTCCTGTCTTTTTACATGTGTGTGGGTTTCTTTTGTTTAAGCGTGTCGAGAACTTTCTACAATCGGTCTTCTCTGTACAGTTTGGGTTTATAAAATACACATCAGCATTTACTTCCGGTTATGGCTGCGTTATATCAAATCAATATGAATTTTGACTGGTTTAAGCGAGACAACAAATTCATGTTGTAAATATGTGGGCTAGGAAAATCTGATTCGGACTAGTAATTGTTCTTCATTACTAGCCCGATTGGGCTAGTGCTGAAAAAAGTTTTTTGCGCACACTGCTAATGTTAAGTAGTGTAAAGAGAGGAAATGTCATTTCTTCCCCTTTTGACCTTCTGGTTGACCTAACGAAGGGACATAACTATTGTAATGTGTGGAATGGACTATAAATATTTATCAAATGTTCTGTAAAAGTAAGAAGAGTTGTAATAGTTGTTTCTAAATTTTTCAGGCAATATAGAATTCTTCCCCCTGGCTTGTCCCCACCCCCTCTTTTATGAAAAACAATTTTACTTTTAAGTATTTTTACTAGTCCCATACTTGTGGAACCATATGGGACTATATGTTTCCTCTGCGTCTGTCCATCCGACTGTCCCCGTCTGTCTGTCTTACTTGGTTTTCCACACTTTTTTTCTAAACTCTTGTAGATATCAAGCTGAAATCTGGTATGTGAGTGTATCTTGATTAGTTACAGATCAAGTTTGAATGTTGTAATTTTTAGCTCTACTGTAAAGAGACCAGTAGAGCTTATGCAATAGTAATGTGTCCGTCCATCCAGCTGTCCGTCTGTCTGTGAACAATTTTTCAAAATTCTACTCCTCCTACAGTTTTTGGTCTGATTTCAATATAACTTGGCACACAAGTAGAATACACTAAGATACATAATTATATTTATTGGTTTTTGATTTTGATGAACGATGTTGCCATGGTTACTAAGAATAGAAATTTCTGAGGAAAGCATTCAAAATGGCTAGCTCGACAAGATAATTGAATTTAACTTTTTTCAAATGGCTTGTTTGTACACATGTATCAGTATAATAATAATATTCAAAGCATATCATTGAGGGAGTCGGCAAGATTCCAGTTCCCCTGGAGCAAGCCTATTGTTTCCGCACAAGCGCTTTGGGAAATTAATAGACTTACTCTTGGGAAACTGGGATCTTGCCGACTCCCTCAATGATATATACTTTAACTGTACAGTGAATAAACAAATCCTGTGCATTTGTCAAGCAAGATATTCCTAGCTTTGAAAGCTGATTCCAAATTATATTCTTAAAACATTTGCCTATTTTTTTTTTGTAATACTTTAATTAGATTTTACATATAATTAATGAATAAAAATGATGTTCCAGATGTTTTGTGTGGAGTGTGGGACATGCCTAAATGGCCTTGCCAAATTTTGTGGCCACTGTGGGGCCCAAGTTCAAGGTATATATTAAAAGCAATCAACTCATGATCACTGAGAATATTTTAAATGCTTAAAGAATGTGTTTTGTAGGGTAAAGTTGTGTTCAACTTTTCAAAGTAGTGTGAACATTACTACACAATATTTTTTTCAAATTGTAACTGTCTGAATGTTTAAGAGCCATAAAAATCAGATATATGATTTGATCACAGAAATTGTGATGAAGAATAGGAGGCTAATAAATTGCTCAGGTGAACAAAGTAGTCCATGGGTCTCTTCTTTTTGAACTAGATGGAAATCATCTTGCTATGCCAGGAATGGTATCATAAATATTTACATATTATTAGGCTTAAAATAAAATATTGTTAGTTTGCAGTTGCCGACCAACCCACTGAAAATGCACCCAACCCAATCTTTCTTTTAGCTATTTTGTAATTTCTTTTTATCTCTCCAATTTTTCAGGATATTAAAACTGTTTCATTTTCAATTTTTGTCTTCATCAATCATGAGTTTATACAAAGAGTGCAACTTATTCATGTTTAGTAGGCCTATAAAAACCTCTATTTTTAACAAAAATATGGAAACAATTTTTTTTTCCCAAAAAGAAATTGCGTACCTACCTACCCAGAGTAAAAATTATAGGTCGGCAACTGCAAACAAAGAATTTTTTAAGCTTGGCCTTACATGTATTGTAATACTGGTATTATTGGTATGTGTTATATTGTTACAGTAGATAAAAATTCAGTTCCCACCTGCTCCAGTCAAGCAATGGAAATTGAAAGCCTCTCACCAGGTAATAGTTTTAAGCTTATAATATATTTAAAACCAGTACATTTAAGGATAATGCACGCATTCAAGTGTACATGTATGTGTTTATCATTTATGAGTATGAAAATTGTAATATCTTATACAGAATTCATTCCTCTGACACATTTTTGAATTTTACTTTGCAAATCTTAAAATCTAGATGCGAAGAAAAGCTTAGCTTTTCTTAAAGCTAAATATTCCCCTGCACTAAAGAAAGAGAAGAAAGAGAAGAAAGGTGCTAAAAGCAGTACTGATATGATTAATGTGAGTGTTCTTGTTGTGTTAAATACAATTTTTAGCTCACCTCAGCCGAAGGCTCAAGTGAGCTTTTCTGATCACATTTTGTCCATTGTCTGTCCATAAGTCTGTCCAGCTGTCCGTGTGCCTGCCCATCTGTAAACTTTCCACATTTTCGATGTTTTCTCAAGAACAACTGGGCCAATTTTGACCAAACATGGTACATAGCATTCTTGGGTGAAGGAGAATTTAAACTCTAAAAATAAAGAGCTAAGTCTCTTCTCAAATGGAGATAATCAAGAAAAAAATAAAATATGATCATTTTTCTGGCCCAGTAGTTCTTGAAAAGAACTTTAAATAACCCCATCTGATGGGGTTATTTAAAGTTCTTTTCAAGAACTACTGGGCCAGAAATGCTGAAACTTATGTGGAAGCATCTTGGGGTAGTGATCAAATTTTTACATAGAAATATATTGGAAAAACCTTTAAAGATATTTTTCTGAAGAACAAATGGGCTAGAAAAGCTGAAACCCATTGGCCACCATATTGGAGGCCAACATGCTCATGTTCCTTCATTATTCAAACATCTTTAACTTTTATATCTGGAAATTGTGGGATAAGAATGATTGTTTCTCTGGAAAATATACATTTGTTACTTCCTCCTTTATTTCATAATTTTTATTCCATAAAGATTTTTCCAAAAATATTTCTGCTACATCATCTTACATTTGGTAAGCCTAATTGGAAAAATTGTCAGGCTGACCACCAAAGATGGTGGACAATGGAAATACCATGTGAACTTTAAATAACCCCATTTATGTGAACACTATCTATAAGAAGTATGTTCAAATATAGTTCCTGGTCAATATCTATAGGTTGCAGGATGAGCATGAATGTATTAGACTATTTCATTCTTTTTGCTACAAAGTTAAATTGTATTTTCTTTCATGCCTGTAAGAATTAGTAAAAAAAATTATCAATCAATGATTTGCATTTAATTAGTAAGAGGTTGTTGTTTTCTTTAGAATGGAATGGTTTATTCAAATTGTCACAACATTATTTTTTGCCTTTCCGAAGAAATGGGGATGCATGCAACATTCAAATGAAAGCAGAAAACTTTCCATTCCATTGAAAAGTTTTACCACTTCAACTTGCTTCATTCTTCCTATTGAATGGATCCATTGTGCCAATATGAATATTTGAGAGATATATATTTTGTATATCATTTAATATTTGTTATTACTTCAGGATTGTGTTACATATATATAAAACTTGAATCTACAGTGGAGAAGTACATGTACATTTTTCAGCCAATTGAAATCCAGTGTTTCTTTTCCCCTATTCTTTCAAGCAGAAATCAGTTTGTGCATTGCATGCAAGTGAAGGTCCTACTATTTTTACAGTGATTATTGAACTTTACAGGATAAAACAATATTAGCTTTATTTATTGCACTCATCATAATTAAGAATATGAACTAAATTGGTATAAAGACAAAAAATAAATTACTAGTATTGATTTCATAAGATTTGCACTATATATACACACTTTCTTTTAGGAAATACAAATGCAAATTTTGGATGGGAAGAAGAAAGCTCTGAAAAGAGCTTTCCCCAGTGATACAGGACTGACAGGGGCTCTGAAATTGACAATTAATCCAGCAGAAAATGCAACTGAGTGGATGAGAAGATTGAATGGTAAATTTAGTGGTAAGATCAACTTCATTCCATACATTATGGGGCCAGCGGGTCTAGAAGAAATAAATGAGCCCGAGGAATTCAACGTCAATAGTCTTGCCTCCTTAAAAACACAAAAGAAGACTACTGGTACCTTAAAGATGTATGCCTTGGCAAAAGGCAAAGGTGAGAATTAAAAGCCCTGTAGTTTTAAGTATTATTTACTAGAAAATTGATACTCATTTGCTAATTCAAGAAGAGTAAGAGCCATGAAATAATTTGATCCATCATTTTCTTGACTGACAAATGTAGTGACAAATGTTACTATAAGTACAAAGATTGAATGCATTTTAGAAAGAAATAAAAAATTGTCTTCAATAACTTTTATGAAAGATATGCATTACCCATATAGTGTTAACATAGTTAATTTATTGTAATATGAATGTAATAATATGACCTTTATAGGAAGAGCAGAAATTATGGACAGTTTCAATAACTGCACACAGGTTAAAAGCTTAAAATGTATTTCAGACAACTGAGAAGCAATATTTGGCAAAATATATGTTTCTTCATGTTTTTATCTCTTCTGGTCAGAGTCCAGAGGAACTTAATTAAGGTGTCCATTGTCTGTTTTTCAAAATGCTACTCCTCAGTTTTGGTCTGATTTCAAATTACTACGGCATACAAGAAGACTGCGCTGAGATTCCTGATGAATTATGTTGCCATGGTTATTTAAATCAAAATTTCTGTTAAATTTTTTTTGAAAAAAGCTACATTTTGTCCGTCGTCCTTCTGTTACTGTCGTCTACATCGACTAATAAATCTTGCTGGGTTATATATTTCAACCAAACTTGGCATAAAGTATCCTTGGGTGAAGGGGATTCAAGTTTGTGCAAATGAAGGGTCACGCCCTTATTCAAGGGAAGATAATTCAGAAATAGTGAAAATTTGGTGGTATGTTTTAAAAATCTTCTTCTCAAGAACCGCTTCCTAATTGGAATTGTGTAGATCAAGTTTGTTCAAATCATACCCCCCGATCACAGTTTTACATAAAAAAGAAAATTCTTTAAAAATCTGTCATAATTATCAATAGAAAGCATCCTTAGTGATTAAAAAAAATGATAGGGCGGGGCCTTTTTAAAAAAAATGAAAGTTTTACATAGAAATATATAGGAAAATTCTTTAAAAATCTTCTTCTCAAAAATAGCAAAGCCATAACTGATCATATATATATATATATTGAAGCATCTTCAGGTAGTGTAAATTCAAGTTTGTTCAAGTCATGACCCCCGGGGGTAGGGCGGGGCCAAAATGGCCGACCACAGTTTTAGAGAGAAATATATGGGAAAATTCTTTAAAAATCTTCTTCTCAAGAATAGCAAAGGCATGATTGGTCATATTTATATGAAAATTAGGTATTGATCATTTGCGGGGTTAAAATGGCCGACCAAAGTTTTACATAGAAATATATAGGAAAATTCTTTAAAAATCTTCTTAGCAAAGTGATTGATTGACTATTTTTGGATTTAAACTTTTCAGTAATAAATCAATTGCTTCTTCTTACTAGCCACAGTGCTCAGGTGAGCGATGTGGCCCATGGGCCTCTTGTTTAAAAAGCTACTCCTCCTTCTGGTACAGTCTACATTAATAAATCTTGCGGTTGAAAAATTTTATCCAATTTATAGTTTTATGTTATATATTTCTCAATAGAGACTTTGTAAAAAAAAAAAGATATGAAAACATGTCAGATATCAAATTTATGATAACAAAAATAAAGATATATAATTGAGAAATAGAATTGCAATAAATTGATCATTTGTAAGTACTGAAAGCTTGGTGATTGATGAATCTGATATGCAAAAACATTGCTGCTCAGTTGGCTATTTTATATTTTGTTATATATTTCAGTTTGAATGTTTTAAATTTTTTTTTGTTTAATAGTTCTGAGCTAACCTGAGCTGTGACAATCAAGCTTTTTTGGTTAAAATTTGTCAGTTGTCTGTCATCGTTATTATTGTCATTGTAAATTTTTTCATGTTTCCATCTTCAATCCACTAGGGCATTTTGAACCATATTACTTAAAACAGATCACCAACATTTCGTGAGTACGCATCAGTAAACTGTTTACTGCTGCATTCTCACGAAGTGTTGGTGATCTTTTAAGTTTATAACTTTAGTTACAGACCCTATTGAATACCTTTCGGTATCCACACGCAATTTCAACCTGAAAGTGTTGGTCTCCAGCTTTTCTTTGTTTTGTATAAAATTTAAAGCTGCTTATTCTGCTTCTAATAGCTAAAAAACATATTCCTTTTTCTTCTTGAAAAATAATCGTCCATAAATTGTTTCAACTATTGTCTATATGATTATACCCCAAATGTCTTTTTCTTTTAAAAGATATCAAAATTCAGAAGTAAAAAAAATAATTTTTGTTAGGTCACACATATAGTATCTCTCATGACTCGTAGTTGGATATGATTTTATCCAACAAGTTGCGTTGATTTTATCCCCTAGCCTTGGCGAGGTGATAAAAACACACAACGAGTTGGAGAAAAATCATATCCATCTACAAATCATGTGAGATTCTTTTTATCCCATGTTTTTTACACCATGAACAATGTTGGACACTGTTTTATAAGGACTCCATTTCATTTTGTTTCATCACTCTAACGCAAAAGTCACAACTGTGTGATGTGAAAAAAATATATCATGAGCTATATCAATGGAATAAGAGGTTAAGCATGGCCGGATAAAAAAAATAATCCTAGTTTTTTGATATTGCGTGAAATCACCTTTGAGAAATTAAATGTATTGTTAACATGTATAACTTATGAAGAACAAACCTGAGCATTTATTTTCACAACAAAGTACGTATACCTGTACCCAGGCAGTATTTTAGCTTTCGTTACTAAACTTCCTTTTTTAAAAAAATCTTTAAAAATATCTGATTTTCCTTTATTTTTTAAAAATGCATATTAATATGAAAAACACTGTGGATTGTAGTCAGTAAATTTCTTAATTTTTAAAAGATATATCATGACTTAGACTTTTACTGATGGGAAAAAAATACCTAGGTTTAAATTCTCTTCATAATTAATATAACCGATAAATTTATTTTTTCAAACTTAAGGTGACTTCACAACAGATCTTAATTTCCCATCAGGAACTTCTGTTTGTCAATAAGGTTTTTGATCCATGTTTTCCATGTACTTTTATTGTTTGAGATAATATGTGCCTGTTTCTGATTAAGCAACTTAAATTGAATAAATAGAATTATTACTTGATACAGGGGAAACAATTTCCTGTTGTAGACTAAAAGATCATGGCTGACTTATATGATTTTTCTGGCCTATGGGCCACTTTTTAAAAGTGTTTGACTTGTTCACAAATATTTGTGTGAAATTTAGAAGTTTTAAGTTTATATCAGTGTAAGGCCAATCATGAATATTTGAATACTGTATACATGATTATTTTCGCCCCGTCTTATTTTCGCCCTTTCACACTTGCAAACAATTTTGCCCCGTTTTAAATTCGTCCAATCATGGTTTTGTTTAAGAAATTTTACTGTATTCTTTGAATTCGCCCCGTTTTAAATTCGCCCAAAAGACCGTAGGGCGAAAGGAGCGAAAATAAAACGGGGGCGAAAATTTCCCTGTATACAGTAATGTAAAAGTACATTTTTATGCTTGGTATCATTGAATTGACATTTATGTACAGTGTAACAGATTTTCTGCATAAATTTGCTCCAGCATACCTAAAGTACATAAAAGATTAATACAGATCGAGACTATATAAGAAATCTTTTTTCCATTTATTAAATTACGGAACCATTTATTATAACAGAAATTTCATTGTCCATGAACTTATTAGACAACACTCGTATATACATATTATAATTTATAATGTTCTTCCAAAAGCTAAAATAAAACTAGCACTTGTACAAATCTGCAGAAAACTGATGCTATAAAGAGACATAGGGTAACATAACATGCACTTATTCTTGAATTACATGACCAGAATTGTAAATAATGGTAACAAGATAGTCTTGGTCACTCATGTGCCTAGAGTTACTCAAACTGAGCTGCCATGCATGGCATCACATATATAGGGAAAATGGTTATGCTAAGAGCATACATAATACTAATGGCTACATAAAATTTGCAAATAATTATGGCTCCAGAGATTATTCTCTACATCAGTCATTTGAACTAGAATTGCCATAATAATACATATCGTCACTGTAATATCAAATTGTCGTAAGTCAAAAATCCCAACTTTTAAGGAGAGACAAAAAACATATTTTTTCAAAATGTCGTATGTCGATCTTGTTTTTTCCTTTCTGTCCTGGATGTTTTTTCAGTACAAAGTGTCGTATCTCCAGAAAAGCATTGAAACACCCTTGCAATGTATTTTAAGCATACAAATCTGATATTAGAACGCTCTAAAATGTATTTTATGAATTAACATACTCTTAAATTGATTGCAGCTACTAAAATTTGTCCCTTGATATCAGACTGCCAGTGACATCTTTGTCAGTGCCCAAAGACAAACGACCTATTGTCAGAGAAAAAATGCATCCAATGGACATTATTATTATGTAACGCGCTTTTATCACACGTCTGTATCTCACTTTCTAATTGGCCTAGAGACTTGACGTTTTGACTGAACATTTATTCGATATTGCAGATTCCAATTTTAAAATAGCAATAAAAATTTCCCGCCAAAAATCGACTGACGACATTTTGATATTACAGCGACGATATATAAGTACAAAAGAAAAAGGTTTGTTGTGATGAACATTTTACTTATTACATTAGACCTCCATCATCTATAGCTTTAATACAGGGGTACTAGACAATGCAAATACTCATAATAAGTATATTTGAAGGGTGGAGTGTACTGATTTAATCATCTCTTCCTCTGTTAGTTTGTATACATTTTAATTGTTTATACCAGTATTCCAGAACTTAAAATTTTTACATTTCAATTCATTTCTAAAATAATTATTTTGATTAGCTCATATTTGATGATTTTTTTTAATTTATGCAATATGTTACCAGCTATTATATATGTTTATCAATAATTTCAGATATCTGATGAAACAGACAGTGAGGTATGTTAAAAGCAGAACATAAGCACATGTACTAAAATCTAATACATTTATGTATTTTGATTGTAAGAAAATAGATGAATTACAAACTTGGCATGAGAAATCAAAGATTTGATATGTAATATATTTGATTTTCAGTCCTCAGAAATGGATTTTGTAATGGAAAAGTCAAAGACAGAATTACCACAAATTGTGAGTATATTAAAATTTGACATTATGAAATTATAAATATGAAGGCCATATATAGCCTCCCACAATCAAAAGTTATGGACAATAAGGTGAACATTTTTGTGGATGTGCATACCGTAAATCTGGAAATTTTTGCTGCAGATAAATTTTTAGCAAATTTGCGAGTGCATTACATTCACAAAAATATTTTTATTAAAAATAAATTACCAATAAGAAAATGTATTCAAAGAAGTGGTCATTCCCAAAATTTAGAAATGTAAAATTAATCAACAGCATCTTAACCCGAAATCGCAAAATAAAATCTATGTAAAAATTTCCAGATTTACAGTATTTTTTTCATTCTTAGCAGTTCATATGCTAGTAGTACACTCTGTGATAAAGATTTGTGTTTTTTTATTCATATTTTTGGAAAAATGAAGTAGACTTTTGCATTTGGAGATGTAAGTTCTAAGAGATGTCCATTGAAAATGAGCATAGAAATTATTATTTTTACTACATGTATAAGTGTACCATATGTTTTGCAGTTGTCCAAGAAAATGAGGAAGAGGAAAATCCCAGCAGCTAAGCCAGTGGAAGAATATTCAATACATGTTAGTGCATATACATGTAAATTTATTCTTATATATAACTTTGCCAAATCACACTTGTTTAGAGTATTTATAATCATTTCAGATGAAATGCGTTAAAAAGAAAAAAAAATACCTGAACCTGTCTCTTTTAAGCTCTTAAACAAATTGGAAGCAGTTTGATATACATGTTGACACAGTTAATACATATTACATAGGATAATAAGGGAAGGAATGAACAAATATTTTGATGAATACTTGGCAATTTTGTTTTTAGTTGTAATTTTTTAATTTGAAGTTGTTCAATAACTTTACTTGTATTGTATTACAGATTTCTGATGATTCTGACCTACCAGACATACCTTTAGATAATACAGATTCAAAGTGTCACTCGGTATGTAAAGAAAATATTACAGTCATTATTAATTTAAAATGCTGTTGGAATAATGAAAGTAAATAAGTATATGTACATGTAAGTAGTCTATTAATTCTGAATATTTACTCTTTACATGAGGTTTCAGAGGAAATGAATTACTTGACCAGTATGTCCTAACAGAAAGAAATGGTAAACATAAAGGCGTTTTTTACTTGGAATCTTTCAGGGCTTCAAATATTTCAGCATATTTATATCAAACTTAGTTACTGTACTTGTATCTTATAAGATGGGTTTCATATTTTAGTATCTTTGGAATTGACAATGATGTGCTAATTTAATTCACAATTGTGCTACAGTTCTGTGGTTTCATCAATATTCGTTGAGCACCAATTTTCGTGGATTTGGTTGTTGAGCAGATCCACGAATTCCAAATGTTAATCGGATTAGGAAATATGACATTCATTTGTATAGGAAATGCTTTTGTCCACGAAATTACGTATCCTCAAAACTGTCTGTTTTACATAATCCACAAGAATTGATGCCAACGAAAATTGATGAAACCACAGTAATTCATGAGTACCACTAAGAAATCATATAACTGTATGGATAATACTGTGAAATCACTAATTTTTGTGGGGGGTTAATTTTCTTTGTTTTCGTGGTATGAAGAGACCCACAAATTTATGACCACCACGAAATGTTATTTTTCATATACATGTACAATTACTAAAAAGATCTTCCTCCACGAAACCAAATCCCTAAGAACTAACTTTTTCCCTCAAACCACAAAAATTTGACCCCATGAAAATATGTGATTTTACAGTATTTATTACCTACTTGTTCATAAATACAGGATCTTTGCATATGCAACATTTCTGATGTAACAATAGCAGTTTTAGCCCTGCAGGGCTTATATGGATTTGCAGGGCTGCATATAGATATAGGTTTTCAGCTCTGCAGGGCTGATATGGATCAATAACTCACCCCTTGTAAATTAAACCACAAAACAGTACTTATTTGTGACCATACACAATTGTTTATTTTCTTAATTTTAAATTTTTGAAAATAAGGATAATCCAATTTTCAAATAATATAATAATTTCAAATTACGGATCGAATGCAATGAAATAGAAGTAGAAACAAACTGTTTTTAAGATCTTCTTCTCAAGAACTGCTGGGTCGGGAAAGATGAAAGTAATGTGGAAGCATCTTCAAGTAGTGTAGATTCAAACATGGATGTTTTCATCAGGATATATATATATATGTTTTCATTGTTGTGAAAAAATTGAAATGACTATAATGTTTTTATAATGTAATTTAGAATTTCAAACCCACTTCAAAGAAAGGTTACTCAGTGGCAACTATTAGCAAAGAAGATGAAATACAGGTATGTCTAATGTCATATGGAAAGTCCATTTTATTGATATAATTTTTCCTTAATATAAAAATACCAATTTTATCTAATTGTTGTAAAAAGAATGTAAATGACTACAACATATTTTTTAATGTAATTTAGAATTTCAAACCCAAGTCAAAGAAAGATTCTTGCTCAGTGGCAAGTATTAGCAAAGAAGATGAAATACAGGTATGTCTAATGTCATATGGAAAGTCAATTTTATTGATATACGGTAATTTTTCCTTAATATAAAAATACCATTTTTTTCTAATTGTTGAAAAAAGAATGTAAATGACTACCACATATTTTTTAATGTAATTTAGAATTTCAAACCCAAGTCAAAGAAAGATTCTTGCTCAGTGGCAAGTATTAGCAAAGAAGATGAAATACAGGTATGTCTAATGTCATATGGAAAGTCCATTTTATTGATATAATTTTTCCTTAATATAAAAATACCAATTTTTTCTTATTGTTGTAAAAAGAATGTAAATGATTACAACCTATTTTTTAATGTAATTTAGAATTTCAAACCCAAGTCAAAGAAAGATTCTTGCTCAGTGGCAAGTATTAGCAAAGAAGATGAAATACAGGTATGTCTAATGTCATATGGAAAGTCCATTTTATTGATATACTGTAATTTTTCCTTAATATAAAAATACCATTTTTTTCTAATTGTTGTAAGAAGAATGTAAATGACTACAACATATTTTTTAATGTAATTTAGAATTTCAAACCCAAGTCAAAGAAAGATTCTTGCTCAGTGGCAAGTATTAGCAAAGAAGATGAAATACAGGTATGTCTAATGTCATATGGAAAGTCCATTTTATTGATATAATTTTTCCTTAATATAAAAATTCCAATTTTTTCTAATTGTTGTAAAAAGAATGTAAATGACTACAACATATTTTTTAATGTAATTTAGAATTTCAAACCCAAGTCAAAGAAAGATTCTTGCTCAGTGGCAAGTATTAGCAAAGAAGATGAAATACAGGTATGCCTAATGTCATATGGAAAGTCCATTTTATTGATATAAATGTATCCATAAGAAAGAGCTTATTACTTTTTAATTGTTGAAAAAAGAATGTAAATGACTATAATGTATTAGCTGCAGAACTGTAGCTCTCAAAGAAATACGTTGACAGAGCAGAGAGCTCTAGTGCCACTCCTTGAAAAAAGACTGTTAAAGTACATTTATTGTGCACGTTAATTGCACTGTTTCTCTTTTTATTTCTCTATGATTTTAAACTGCTGTCTCAAAAAATTAATAATTGTTTGTTCTTAACATATTCTTTCACTTTTCCACAAGAAAAAAAAAATCATTGAAATTGATGATAATAGCCCTCCTGGTCCTGAAATTGAGTTCATCGAAAATTTCATTTATTTATACTTCCATTTTGTTTTTCAATTGAATACATTCCATCATGCTTTGTGCAGATGTCAACTGCGATAGTTCTCAATAAAGGTATAAAAACTTTTTCGATTTTTTTTTTTTTGGCGATAGAGGTAATAATTTCAAAGATTTATTCCTGGAACTAAGCCCAACTTTATGTGTGCAATAAATATACATTTGTTACAATGGGTGGCACATTAGCTCTCCAGGCAGTCGATATATATTTCCTCGGAGAGCTACAGTTCTGCAGCTAAGTAAACATTTATTGTATAATGTAATTTAAATTTCACCCCCACTTCAAAGGAAAGTGCTTGCTCTTCTGATACGGCTTGCTATGAAGATGAAATACAGGTATGTCTACTTTGATGGAAAGTCCATTAAATCAATGTAAATGTTTACATTAAAAAGTGCTGTTTTTGTGTTAATTGTTGTAATGCCAAAATAAATTAATTCTTAGATAATTGTATGAATTTTAAGAAAAGTTGAGGTGGGAGGTTGGGGGTGGGTGGATTATAATTGACTTAAATGTGTTTTCATAATGTAATTCAGAACTTCAAATCAAATCTGATGAAAAATATTTGTACTCCTGCTGATGAGATACAGATACGATATAAAAAAGTATGTTTTCAGTACTGTATTTAATATTTTTCAGTTGACAGAGTCGCCTAATTCATATTTTGAGCAAGGAAAATCCCATTTCTCACCTGAGGAGGAGGTAGATATTTTAATCCTTCTTGTATGAATTAATTAAGTAAAGTACAAATGTACTGTCAATAGCTATATAGGTCGGATCCTCGGTTAACAGTACCGGTACATTTTTAAGGACTCTGAAAAAGTTTCAAGTGTACTGTTTTAATTGTTCCCTATACCAAGGTAATTTTAGCAGTTATCCCCTGCCAAAAATGATGAAAAGTTCCCAAGTTAGTGTCCATGTTTCCCAACATAATTATCTTGCTAAATTTTTATATTAAATAAATTTTATTACAAAGACTGCTCTTACATCTTTATTTAGCTGTACAGAATTGTGTAATTTTAGTTTATTTTAATATCCACCCGGTGACTATGATGATTTTTTAGCTCACCATGATGAAGTCCATATGAGCTTATGCTAATCTTTTGACATTGACCTTGGTGTCCTGATAAAAGTGAAGTGCAATTCTGTTCCCTATATAGTACAGTCTATAATTTTTACTGTGCAGGGATGAGCAGTTGAAAAATTCAAGCACTATCCCATGGGCTTGTGGTAGCAACGAAATCACTAGCCCAAAGTAAAAGCTATTGGCTCAAATATAGGAAAACAAAGATTAAGGCAAATCATTTTCTGTCTTACGTCACACACCCATTATTGCCTCCTTTTTCATTAAAAGTAGAGTATATTAATTTGGGTCTGTCTGGCTATCTAGCAGTACTTGTTTTCACTCAATATCTTGAGAAGTCTTTGAGCTTCTGCAGTGGTGAAATTTTAGACCAAGACTCTGTGGCCTATTGATTTTGAGGTCCGTAGGTCAAGGTCACTCCATGTGGCTGTCTTGATTTTGAGGTCAGTAGGTCAAGGTCACTTCACATGGCTCTATCGATTATGAGATCAAGGTAAAAAAAAAATTATACATTCTGTTTGTGTTTGAAACTTTCAATTCCAGTTGATATCTCAAGAAGCTATTGAGCAATTGAAATTTCATAACATTATTCTATATGCCCGCTCCCACCCCTCATAAACTTTCCCCTTTTACATCCCTTTAGATCTGCACTTGTAGTTCTTTTTTTTCCTTAATCAGGGAATACAGATTCTTTGCGTTGCCTTGTTTTTCCCTTAAGTTGAGGATAGACTTTTCTGTATTAACATGTCATTTAAGACAACTTTTTTTCTTAACAGATCATAGACGAGGAGATGAAAAGGCTCTTTGATGTAAGTTTTTGGTTCAACAATGATTGTTACATGAATGCTATTGTGTCTAGTTTTATTCCATGTACATGCATCTATTTGATTTCACATTTTATAAGTATAACGAACATTTTATTTTTCAATTGTGAAAATTTCTTTTCAGGTCATGGAAATGAAGATAAAGAGAAAGAAGGTTAGTAAATGCATGGAATTTTTATCCATTTATTAGATCCTATGAGTGTAAGTATATACAAGTATATTTATATTAAATCCCCAATGACTGAATCTATCGTGCCAACAGTTTCATTAACTGCCCCAAGAACGTTTACTTAAAATATTTTTTATGGAAAACTACATGATATTTAAGTCTTAATTCATAATAGGTATGCTTTACAGAGAACTTTAAGCATTAAGTGAAGAATAGCCATACCACAGAATTTAGAGAATGTTTCACTGTATCTTCTGTTGTTTTGTTCAAAATTCTTGATGAATAAATGGATTTCTTTAAGATGGCTGAAGATGCTGTAATTTCTTTCCCGAACAAAGAAGATCGTAAGTTGGTCACAATCATTTACGAAGATCATGGAGGCATGTCCCTTACGAGACCTTTCAACAAAGATGACACTCTGCAGGTAAAAATATTAAACATTTTTAACTCATCTGAGCTGAGGACTTGAGCAATGTTTTTAGATCACCTGAGCTGTAAGCTCAAGTGAGCTTTTCTGATCACATTTTGTCTGTAGTCCGTTTGTCTGACAACTTTTCACATTTTCAACTTCTTCTCAAGAACCAATAGACCAATTTTTACCAAACTTGCCACAAAGCGTCCTTGGGTGAAAGGGAATCAAGCTCTCTTCACAGGGGAGATAATTATGAATTAATAAAAATCTTCTTCTTCAGAACCAGTGGACCGGGAAAGATGAAACTCATGTAGAAGCATCCTCAGGTATTGTAGATTCAAATTAGTTCAAATCATGACACCTGGGGGTAGGCAGGGTCACAATGGTTGATCAAATTTTGACATAGGAATATATAAGAAAAATCTTCTCCAGAAAATATATAGGGAAAATCTTGTCCAGAACAGAAGAGTATTGTCAAATTGACATGTAAGCAATTGTAGTGAAGATTTAAATTTATTTAAAAACGTTTGGGAAAGGGGGTGTCACAATGGGAGATCGAGTAATATGTGGAAAAAAACTTAAAAAATATTATTTTGAAGTATGGCAAAATTATACATGACTTTTGTATGCTTTATTGATATATTGACATACTCAGGTCGGTAAAAGAGAACAAATCCCCCTCCCCCAACAAGTAAGCTTTTCAATAATAAGCTGAGCCCATGTGCTCAGGTGAGATGTGGCCCATGGGTCTCTTGTCTGATTTTGCAGTGTCCAACATGTGTCTGTCTCTCTGTTGAGTGTTTCTGTGAACGTTGCACCTTTTCATTTCTCCAGAACCATTAATTGGCTAATATTATTATTAGGAATGGTACCAGCCTCATTCAAAATTGCAAATCCCATAGCATCTACCTAAAAAATGAATCAAATTCAATCATTTGAAATTTGTTGCATGATTCACAGATGACTTATAAGGCTGCATGGGCATCTTGGTTTTTTTCATTTTAGAGTGTTTTTACATACATCTGCAGAGAGGTAGATGCTGAAATACTGCCCCCAGCTTTCCACCTCGAATGCACTTCACCATTGAAGTGCCAGGATGAAGGCTGTCGACATTGCTTTGAGCTGGAGGCAACTTATAATATGCCAATTGCCTCTGTTCCAGATGTACTTATTCTTAAGGAAGGGGCAAGTACACATTTTTTTTTAACATTTTGAAAGAAGATAACATTTAAATACTGGTACTCATTGTTTGTATAAATAATCAGGTAAACACTAACAGCCATACTTATATCATTGAAAATTTAATGCACTTTAAGACCTTCCTTTTACTTCACTACATGTATTTTATAAATGTACTTGTAGGGGTGTACTAAAATAAATTAATTGAGCGCGCTATTTTACGAAACCGGTCAAACTTTGATAAAATCTTTACCATTTTTTCCAATTAATATACAAGAATTTGTTGTATGATTATTGAAAAATATACAGCTTTTTTATTTTGATAAATCTAACGGAGCATACATTTTTTTGGCACGTTTACATCACAAAGACTCTTTATTAAAATTAAAAATTCACAATTGTACCGCAAAGAGTTTTAATATTTTACTTAATTTTGCCGCTATAAAAAGTATTCATGAAACGCCATATATGGAAAAATTTATGAAAAAAATTGGAGGGTATATGACTGTTTTATAGCCGTTTTTAACTGATCAACGCTTAAAAACACAGCCAAAAATCGGAAACGTCATTTAGCGTCTTTTATGAGCACTGCATATGTAAAAATTATGTATGCAGACTGGAAAATGTTAAAAGAGATTAAAATGTTCAAGATGCTGCCGGGAATTTCCTACACCAACAAATGACAAGTTTTCAAATGGTTGTAGCTTGCAATAAGAATGGAAGGATTAACATTTTTGATTACCTCCATTATACATAATCAATTTACCCCCGTATCGCATGGACGTTGCGTTGCGCCTATATGGTTTTGCATAGTTTCCATATGAAAATCGTAACTGCAACTTTTTTAAAGATCAATCAATAATATCCAGAATCATACAAAAGACATATGTCTACAAAATGATATAGATATTCAATTTTAAATAGAAAATATAAGAAAAATCTTATTTATAGAACTTTACCGATGTTTAAACGTTCGAAAAAAATGTATTTTCCTTTTATTACAGTTGTAAAAATCGTTGTAAATTTTCACCTGAATTTATATAAAAACAAAATGTAGGAATTTATTATCATCAACTTCACTGAGCTTACAAAATAGATTTTTTTCGTACTTGTACAGTGTACTATTAAACTACTGGAGAATGCTGTGATTAAGGTCAACATAATTAACCCATCCAAATCCTATATTTAGAAACACAATGAAAGTTTTAAAAATGTAAACTAATGTTTAAAGCCATATATGGCATATGTACAATGAAAATTATTAGATTAAAATTATAAGAACTTATTATTTGTATCAATACTTTATATAAAGTTACCAGTTTTTGGTAAATTACAAAATCTAAGTCAATTGCGTTATAAAGATATCACAATTTTATTTGGATTCTCAGAATTTTCTCCGACTCAGAAGAAAATACAAAAGATTTAAATAACACATAACAGAGAATGTAAAATCGTATCATTAGATGAAACAAGGTGTTCTCCGTATTCAGAATTGTAAGAAAAGCTTTAATTTGAATGTATGAACTATATTTCGATACTTAATTTTGTATTTTATAAAAATTTATTTTTTGATCAGTTACGCCATATATGGCTTTAAATGATTTATTAAAAAGCACCTTATTACATGTATATTTTATTTTCCTAGTTGGAACAATAATGTTAATAAACAAATTGGTTCATTTTCTGTTTCAGAATTTCTTAATGGATGACACCCTGACAAATTATGGAAATGTACTCATGTAAGGTCCCTGTAACTTTTATGATACATGTCATATGTGCATTAAATGAATATTGTTATGTTCATTATTGTAAGTTTGTTATAATACAAATTGTTTATAACATTTCTTACTGACATTGCTGTTTGAGAGGATTTTTTTGGTATTAAATTGCTTGTAGTATTCCAATCAATGTTGAATGCCACCTTGATTGTAGAAATAATTTTTGCAGTGAAATGCTACATTTTGTGATGCCCTTGCAAGTTAAAGTTAAGGTCAAGCTCAAGTAAATAACTTTAGACTAAATTTTTGGTGCTAGATCCATTATGACGTCATAATCAATTTCAACTCTTTTTTTCCCGTAATTTACAGCTTAAGCAGAATTATGTAGAAAATAGGGTATTTTATGACATTCAATTTGAAATCATATGAAAAGTAAACCGGATACCTATATAGGCCATGAACATACAAATTACCGTTTTCTGAACGACTGTAGGCAATCTAGATAAATTTTCTTTGTCGAATATGAAAAGAACTCCCATAATCATGAATGGTTTTCTTAATTTTTCATTGAAAATGACAATTTAAAGTACAGTTTTTTTGTCTTGTTTTCCTACAAATTATGCCACGAAACACCTTATTAGACCAATCTAATGTTCTAATGCATTAATAAAGAAATTTATTTCTCAAATTTGATAAATCTGTGGGCACCTTTCATTTACTAGATCTTGACCTTAAACTGATGTTGTAAGTCTGGCAAGCCAATTGTTAGAAAAAAATGTATTTTGCAAAGGAATGAGTTGAAAACATTGTAAATTGTAATGACAATTTATTTAATTGTTTACAGTTGTATCAAAGACTGGTCTTTCTCAAATGTGTTATCAAAAAGAAATAAAAGTCACTCATTTGTAATATTATAGGTTTTTTTTTCCACTGAATATTATATAAATAATAATTCTTTACCTATAAAAACTCATCAACCTGAGCTTCAAATGATATTTGATTTTTTTTCTTATTCAGATGATTAACTTTTGATCTGTCACAATGGGTTATCATAATTTGTTCTCCTTTGTTAGGTCACTTGGTGACCTATTGCTATCCATTGCCTCTTCCAGATTTGTGAATTTCAGGACCCCAGTATCAGGGGTTTTGTTGTTAGGGCAGGGCTCTAATAATTATTAATTAAAATACATGATCTTATTACATATTAATGATGAGGAAAGGTGCCTCTTCCAAAATGCTTATTTTCAGGGCATCTGGGTCAGGTTACTTGAGGTGGGGATTACATAGTCTGAAAATTAATTAATGCTTTGAAATCTTCTTTTTGGTATTAATCAACTATTTATGATGAAATTTATTAGATTTTTGAAAAACATATGTGCACACAGGGTCAGGGATTTCTGGGGGGGGGATACACAACTGGTTATAAAGTGGAAATGCATTGTCTCTTTGTTACTCTGATCTACCTCTTGATATTAAGTAAGCAAGCTAAGTGAGTAGTTATGATACACAATAGTGTCTCTTTCAAAATTTTTAATGTCTCAGCCTTTGATTTAAAACATGAACCGATTCATTTGTTGGAAGATTGTTATATGATAAGGTGACCTATCAACCCCTTGGACCTCTTGTTTAACATCTGTTCCTATTGGTATTTATATGTACTATTTTTCGTCACATGAAAAAAGTAATCAGCTGTCTTGTTTAATATACTGTGAAATCACCAATTTTTATGAGGGTTGAATTTTCATTGTTTTTGAAGTATGAAGAGACCCACAAATTCATGTCCTGACCATGAAATGTAAATTTACACATGCACAACTACTAAGAAGTTCTTCATCCATGAAATCAAATCCCAACAAACCAACTTTTTTTCCCAAACCATGAAATTTGACCCAACAGAAATATGTGATTTTACAGTGTTTTGATGTTTTTATTTTCCTTTGATGTGAATAAATGTCTTAACTTTTGTTTAGTTTTTTCCTCTTTTACCTGGTAAGTTCTTTTTCTGATCACAATATGTCGGCAACCTGTGTGTAAACTTTTGACAGTTTGTATCAAAGGACCAATTACATCTCAACATGTAACAAACCATCCTTGGGTGAAGGGATTCAAATTTGCTCAAAGGAATTCCCCACCCTCTTTCTAAAGGAGACGATAATTAAGAAATAGTAAAAATCCACAACAGGGAATCAAGGTTATACAAAGGAATATCAATATTATTTTTCTTCTCAAGAACAGCAAAGTCAGGATTAGTCATATTAATTCTGAAGCATTCTCAGATCTTGAAGATTCAAATCATGTCTCTGGGATAGGACAAGGCATCAATGAAAGATCAAATGTTAATACCATTTATATATTTAAACTTTTTAATACAGTGAACCAATTTCTGCTTTTTCCAAATGCATGAATCTAAGAACATGTCTTTGTAATGAATAAAAATGTAGGTGTTATGAAGAGAGACGGAAAAAAGGCTAAGTTTTTAGCGATGGATACATTGAAAAGAACCTGTACAAATTGCTTTGCAAATTTCTATAACTTTGATCTTAATTGCAGGGAGTATTCTATTAAGGTAGTACAAAACAGGTACATGTATCCCAAATTTTTCCTAATATGTAACATTCAATTCTGAAAGAATTCAAATTTGAAAAGAAATCCCAGAATGATAATGATGGTATAATTACTGGTAATAGATGTTCTCGAGACAAATCAGAAATATGTCCTTATAGGACAGGGATTCCAAGCTCAGTGTATAAAACTATTTTAGTAATTTAGCAAGAAAATTTGTTTAAGGTACATTGATACTCTTGTGACAGGAAAGGAGAAAATGCATGGCTTAATGACATAAATGTCTATTAATCAGGCCGATATACAGCCCTTACATTCATTCTTTGGCCCTCAGGCTCATCCCTGGCAGGTCTATCACCTGTCAATTCCAGGGCAAGGAACGCATAACATTTTGTATAATCATGGCTGGACCGGGGAACACACCCCTGTACAACCAGTCAAGTGCTCTAATCATGAGCTATCCAGGCCGATAGCCACAGCCCTAACCATTACATTCCTCCCTCCTTAAAGGTCTTTGGCCCTCCAAAGACCCCAACCCAGGCTCATCCCTGGCAGGTCTATCACCTGTCAATTCCAGGGCATGGCACGGCACCAAATCTGTGACAGTAAACAAAAATGCATGGCTGGACCAGATCTATGTATCAGTTTTTACCCGGGACCCCTGTATCTCCAGTCAGGTGCTCTACAGATTGAGCTATCCAGGCCGATAGCCACAGCCCTAACCATTACACTCTTATAAGAGAGATAACTCTTAATGACATAAATGTCTATTAATCCCATATAAATTTATCAAGTTGAAGTGCCTTTTTTGTCAAATGTTGTGCCACAAGCCATGCTATAACTGTTTTTGTTATATACCTTTAAAAATTTGTTCCTATACAAATCTATAAGAAAAAAGTCTAACATTTTAAATGTTTTGCTGAGCGGGCATAAAAAAATCGATGTTGGACCGCTGAGTGAGATGTTGGACCACTGGGCGAGATGTTGGACCGCTTACATCACAGAATGGGCGGAGCTAAATCTCATTTTCATTCGTTGGTATTAAACAGTGACAGACTTGATGTTACGTACATCACTGAATATAGTTCAGAATACATGTATGTCGAAAAAAAATCAAATGAAAGGTATAACAAAACATTTATTGACAATAACATGCGTTTTGTCAAACTGTTGAGGCCAAACGGCCTCAGGCCTTTTTTGTCAAATGTTGTGCCACAAGCCATGCTATAACTGTTTATATTTTATTCATCATATACACTTCCTTGGAAAATCGTAAATGTTTAAGAAAAAATTATATAAGTGAGCAGAGGCTTAATGAACCTTTAAAAGTGTATAAAGTTGATGAAAATATCTTGATCAATTTCTTTATATCAGAGAAATTGATATAGATGATAAATTGTTACCAAAGAATGTGTAAGTGCTAGCTTTAATGTTCTGTTTATGTTTTTGTATTTTGCGGGTTTAAGTGCAACCCCTTTCTTTATTGTTTTGTGTAATTAGCCTAACCGGAAACGAGTTAAGAAAAAGCACATGCTTACAAATTTAAAAGACGAAAATCTACGAATTCATCTTTTCGAGCTGATAAGACCCATAGGGTAATTAATAATGATTGTTTTTATATCTTCTGAAATAGTTAACAGATTAATTGTCATTTTTAAAGTTAATAAGATGTAGTTGTCTTGAATTTATAAGTGTAAACAATATTTTCTGTCGAGTGAATTTGTGTTATATACCGAAATTACATGTTGCTATTATTTGTTGTAGAATTTTACTCTGTTACTTCGCAACAATGTTGCTGCCTTATCAATAAACAATTAAACCTACAATTTACCTCACTTATGGAGACAGTACATTTACCATAAATATCTTTATTTTATTTATTAAAAACTAGAAGCAAAAAACTAATTTTAAAAAGGAGGTCAAGGTCACAGGCAAATTCCTCTGATACATATCATTCAGCAATATTATGTTTAATAAAAAAATCTTGAATGGTTTATTTAAAATTGAGCTAAACAGTATTTTAAGTAAAACATGTAAAACAAAGTAAAGGTCACATGTAAATCTACTGTTGCTGCAGATCTGTATCTTTAACTATAAGCATTATGGGTTTATATATTTGTCTTTTACCATAACGACACATATCCCATAATGCAAAAAAGTTGCAAAGCAGTAAATCAGAAAAAAACTAACATTTATTTTGCTGTTTGAAATTATATCTGTAAGTTTCGTCACAAATAATATGATTTGTTCATGTAATATTATAAAAAAAAAAAAAAAAGTTTCAAAATTTCCAGCCCGGACCGGGTTTTACATTTTAGTCACACTCCATGATATGCGCTCTATTAGGTCTACCGTCTATGGAAAAAGTCAGAGAAATGCCAGATGATTAACAATTCAAATTCACATTAACATATTCAAATGAAGGCCTAAAAAGGTGTTTTGTACTACCTTAATACAGGTTGAAGTATTTACGCTTTCTTAAATATTAGCCCCTTGATTTGTCCATTGTTTACATTTGTGTTTCCCCCGACTGCTGTTGAAAACTTCACTGTAAGATTAGTGTTTTCGTCCACGGCAAATGAAGCACTGTGGAGACCCCCAACTCCATAGCTTGTTGGACCACCATTGATTCTTAACACTGCAGTGTACTCTGTGTCTCTTAACAGGAACACTGGTTTGGGGAAGAGAATGAGAATGCTGAGTTCATCAGAGCATTGTTCCTTTACCTGTGTTTTACACAAAAGTGTTTGGCTGTGGTTGGTGTAAAGTAGAACAGAAAAGATGCCATATGCCCCTGCCCTACCATACACAAGAAGACCCTTAAGTTTCATGTTGTCAAGGTTTACAGTGAATGAAATTCTGTCCCCATCTAGAGAATCATCAACCACCCATGTACTCTCATGACTGATATTCCTGAATCGGTTCACCACTATATCATTGCATGTTGTATTCTGTCTCTTTCTAGTGTACTGTAGAGGGAGTGCATCGTCTAATGTGGATAGATGACGAAGAACAAGGAGTGAGAAGGCATCCTCAAGTACAGACTTGGTCAAGATGTGGTCGAGGAAGAAATCCATGGACATCCGTCCAAACCTCACATCCGGAATCACTTCCTTCCATAACGCGACCCTTCTATGTTCCTCACCAGCCATGCTTACCCACAGGTTGATGTTTTCAAAGAGAACTTCTTCGTGGACACAAAGACTGTCTCTTCTAATAATGTCTTTCAAAAGACCTAAGGGCAAATCAAGAAAATCCTCTGATGCTGACTGGAAAAGGTCTTCAATGTGATTATCGACAAACTGAAGACATTGAGCCTTCGTTGAAGTGATTTCGTTGTTGTGGGCAATTAGAAGCATTTTTAGGGAATTCTTCAGGGATATGCTGTCTTGCATGAAATCAATGCACCTCTGAAGCAATTCTTTGACACCATAGTAATCCGCAACTTGGTATATTTCTTCAACATTTTCAACTGAGGTTTCAATATAAGAGGAGTACAAAAACTCAATCATTGATTTCATCACCGCTGTTGAGTGAACATTGCAAGTTATATCTTTGGATGCCGACTCCCAATTCTCACTGAGTCTTGCTGCAAACCAATCGGAACCCAAAATCAACACCACTCTATGAGCTTGAATTGCCCCATCCCTGAGTTTAATATTCACATCGCAGTAAAGCTGATCTTTAAATAACTCAATGAGTTTATTACCCAACACAGCCATTCTGAAAAAGGAAATATTTTTAATTAAAAAATGATTTTATGTGGTTCAAGGTTGAATGTTATGTATGACATATTCCCAACTATTCGCTATTAAAAGTTGCGTTTGGAAATCTTGTCACTATTTATCTATCTTTTTTAGTAATTGGCAAAGTGTACCCTAGTATTTTTGGTTAGAACAGTTTTCAGGTACTTTCAGTAAGGTGTTGCATTCTTGGCACAGCGTAATTATAGCACATTTTTTCAAATGGCAAGTAGATTCTTACTGGTTAAGTACGTGTAATTAATAATGTAAGGAATTTTAAATTGTTTCTATGATGAGATATCGATGACTTAAGCACTGCCTCTGTGCCGTGAAAGAATTTTTAATTGGATATATGCTACACTAGTTGACATTCAACCGAATTTCTACCCTATGTACATTTCAACAGTGATGGTAAACTGTCAGTGTAAATTTCCGAAGCTAATTATGTAACGTCAGGAATACCGTACCTTATTGATAGTCCATGCTTAACTTGGAATTGTCCTAATAAGATTCAGAATGACATTTTTAAAATTTTCCCCATCACAATCTTCAAACTTGATCTTGAAATTAAACCTATTTTTAAATAATATTTTGATCCTTTATTTTTCCATTGTGTTAAATTTCAAGAAATCATATGCTTTTAAAACTTTAATCAATGTATACAATTTTATGACTACACGAAAATTTACTTTCTTCATAGATTAAGGTTATCCGATCCTCAGGTTCTTAAAATCAGGCATTGAGTAATTGAAAATGCTCACCAAAATGTCTCTAAATTCTCAAATTAAAATGTATTTACCCACGGTGTTTCTTTAAACTTCATCTTTAAATTTAATCATATTATATAGGAAGAATTAGTAAATCTCAAATATTTTTTTCAGGAAATGCGATTTGAACTACCTACTGCATATTTTTTAATTGAAAATTGATCAAGAAATACATTTTAAGAATAAAAATCATAGGTATCCAGGCTTTTAAAGAAAATTGCATGAATTTTATACTTATTTAGTACTTTACTTTCTCCTTCTTACTTCCATTGTTTCATAATGCATAATGTATGAAGTGTTTCCTTTCAAAGAAAACACCGTAAATCACTTCTAATTTCAAATCATGCTTATTAACATTGGTAACTAAGACTAAATTAAAAGAAATTTGTTTTTTTTAATAAGGCAAGGTTTACTTAATTTTATGAGGTACAAATGTCAAATTTTTTGAAAACCGTTTGTTAAAACTTTGAAGAACATTGAATCATACATAGAGGCATAATATGAAAATTGTTGCATGAAAATATTTTAATTTCAAGCTTTATTTGAGACTTTTTGAATTAAATAATAAATTAAAGAGTTATCCTTCCTGGCTGAGGATCGTATATCCTTAATTGCACAGAAATTCATCCTGTTTGTTGTACGTAAATAAATCTGAACTGGTGTATATTGATTTATTTTTCTTAAACTTGTCATTCACGTCGGCTTTGATCTAGTAAGGAATAGCACATCTATGTGTTAATACATTATTAATTATACAGCATCTTGCTATATATTTGTGGTAATTTTTACCTCCATTGCATGAATTTTACTGCTATTATTGAAATACAAAGAAATTCTTTAACATTTATCTCTGTCTTTTAATGATGCTAAAGCAAGAGACACTTGTATTCCTTTGAAAATTCTGTCAACCCCAAACTACTTGAGAATAGACACTAAGAATTACTCGATTACCAAAATTACAACACTAAAGCAGATTACTTTACAATTGATTTAATTAAATTAAACATACACACAATGCACAAAATTCAATGTACAAAAATTGTTAACAATTGCAATTTTATTTTAAACTGTAAACATTTGCAGCATTACCCTTTGTTACACAGTAGTAGATAAAACTACAAGTTATGTCTTAGAAGTCAACAATGACAGAGTACCTTATTTAACTGGTATCATAACAAGAGACCAAAGGGCCTTGAATTGCTCTTCCGCTAACTTTGACAAAGATTGATGATTCTAACTGATATATACCTAAGATACTTAAATATAGTCATAAAATCTCAGAAGTAGGTCACCATGACCTACTTTTTGGCCGACATTTTCAGAAGACCCAAGATGAATCAACTGAACAAAGTTTGATCATCATAGGTCTGAAAGTATTCAAATATGCCTTCTAAATAATTTGAAAAGAAATGCCTGCAAAATTAAAGAAGTCAGAAAGGGTCACAGTGACCTACTTTTTTATAAATTATGTTTCAAAGCCCCGAGATGCATCAACTCACAAGGTTTGGTGATTCTAAACTTCTCATTGTATGAAATAATGCAATTAAATGTTTTAGAAAATATTAGACATAAATTTAAAAAAGTATGCCACTATGACATACTTTTAAGGTGACGTTCGAGGAATCAAGATGCATAAACAGACAACCTTTGATGATCATAAGCCTTAAAGTGTCCAAAATATGCCTCCAAATCAATTGAAAACAAAAGCCCATAAAATTTCAAAAGTAGGTCATTGTGACCTACTTCTGTGTTAATTTAATGAGAAGTTCTAAGATGCACCAACTACCAAGATTTGATGATTCTATAAAGTAAACAAAATACAATGTTTTTATTAAATGTAAATTGTTATCAAATCTGAAGTGATCTTGAGACCATGCCTTTTGCCAAAGGGTGATGCCTTGAAAAATTTTTAATCTTCAATGAAAATCTGCTTTTTGGTTCTGGAGAAAAAAACATTTTTTAGCAACCAGTAATTTTGGTTTCATTTTCCTGTTTATCTCCCTTTGTTTTGGGGCCCCAACCCTAGTTTAGTACAAATTGATACCATATCAGGGATCTTCGATAGAAATAAAAGTGTTCCATACTCTACAATACTTAGTGCCTCACTTAATCACAACTAGCTGTTCTCAAAACAAAAGAGAGAGAGAGAGAAAAAATCCTCATCTTATTGATTTTGACATGATATTATGGCCTCCACCTTTTCCTTGATATTAATGGTGCATTCATATTTACCGTATATAAATCATAATACCTTTTTTTTTTCTATACCAATACATGTATTGTTATCCTTAGGAGCAGGGATAATTTTTTAGATCTTGTGCACAGAAATAAAAGATGGATGGACAATAGGTAGCATAAAAAAAATCTTATTTCACATAAGCAAGAAAATGAAACAAGAGGCCCATGGGCCACATCGCTCACCTGAGCACCTTTGGTTGGCCATTGTGGTCCCGCCCTACCCATATGAAAGAAACAAAAATTTACACTAAGGATATAAAATGATCAATCATGGCTTGGCTATTATAGAAAAAAGATTTTTAAAGAATTTTCCAATATATTTCTATGTAAAAACTTTGGTCGGCCATTTTGGCCACGCCCTACCCCCGGTGATCATGAAATTTGAACAAACACACACTACCTGAGGATACTTCCATATAAATATGATCAATTATGGCTTGGCTGTTCATGAGAAGAAGATTTTTAAAGAATTTTCCTATATATTTCTATGTTACAATCGGCCATTGTGGCCCCGCCCTACCCCCAGGGGTCATGATTTGAACAAACTTAATCACACTACCTGAGGATGCTTCCATATAAATATGATCAATTAGAGAGAGAGAGAGAGAAGAATTTTCCTATATATTTCTATGTAAAACTTTGGTCGGCCATTTGTAGCCTCCACCTTTTGAACAAACTTGAATCTACACTACCTGAGGATGCATACGTTTCATCTTTCCTGGCACAGTGGTTCTTATATAAGATTCATAAAGCATACCACCAAATTTTCATTTTTTAATTATCTCCCCTTGAATGAGGGCGTGGCCCTTATTTGAACAAACTTGAATCCCCTTCACCCAAGGATGCTTTGTGGCAAGTTTGGATAATTTTTTAGATCTTGTGCACAGAAATAAAAGATGGATGGACAATAGGTAGCATAAAAAAAATCTTATTTCACATAAGCAAGAAAATGAAAAAAGAAAAGCAGCATGCAGCTAAGACCAATGATATGAAGAACCTGAACACTATTTGGGTAAATATATAGTAGTAGTACTGTAGTTGTGACCATTTATTTAACGACGTATGATCCTGATAATTAAAGTCTTAAACTTTTTTTGCCAAGTATATTTTTAGTTCCTACATGCATAGCTTAATTAAAATTCAAATCAAAAAATGGGGGTCAATATGCTTCTTTTAGCGATACAGTACATTTAATATGACCTTTCTGCACTGAAATTTGTGGCTAAATTAAAAATTACATCTGTGACGTTTTCCCTCCAATATTTTTATCCAATTAAAGCATGAAACAAAATGAACTCTTAGTCTGTTTAAAAAGATATACTTAAAAATTGTGACTAAGAAAAAAATTCTAATTGCTTCGCATAATCAATAATTTGACATTTCTGCACTAATAAAATGCTATTTTTCCGGCATTGAAAATATAATAAGCAAGAAAATCATTTCAAAGTCTTAAACTCTTTCTGATTTTAAGCAAAAAGGTACAAGTTATCTTGAATATCTAGAAAAGAATATCAAAAGTGGGGGTACATGATAAAAATTTTCAGATATTACTAAAAAATTGTGAATTTTTAGCTGAAGTTGGCTCAATTTTTTCCCATATTTTCAGAATATATTTACTATGTTTGTCACACTTTGTTGATAGAATTCATAAGAAATAATTTAAGACATATTTCAGAACCAGCATAACATATTTCACTGCAAAAAACAGCTTTGTGTGCAACCAGCATGGAAAAATAGGCATCCAAAATTAACAGTACTGTTATAGTTCAAATGGAAACAAGTGACCATTTTTGTCTAAAAAACCTTCCGCCACAAAATATAGTCCCTAGCTTGAATGGAATTTAATCGCAGTTTTTTCATTGAATATATTTTAATTTACATTTTAGAATTCAGTTTTATTGTAGGAACCTAAAAATGATGCTTAATTTTATGAATAAAGGACCTGCGCAAAATACGCTCAAAATATCAGGATCAAAAAAAATTTTAAATTACGATTTGTGATATACAATTGCTTAGAAATATGTACAAATGACGAGCACTTCTCCAGTCAGATAAACTCTCAGGATGTGGCAGTTCGTAAAAATCCAGGATAGAAGAGGCAACCTCAATAAAATGTCTGTCTATCTGCTTATAGTTGTTTGTAACAAGTCTCTGCAAGTGAGGGACAATATCTTTATCAATCACATGCACATGTTGAGATGAACCTAAAATGAATAAAAAGTGCCTTTTTATATAAAGAGTATAAAGGGATAGATAAATTGTTACCCAAACACTAGAAGAAAATGATAAACAGGGATAAAAAAAATACTGTCAAGGGGGAAATAACTCGCTGTTTTAATCTTCTCTATATTCATGGTGTTTTTGAATCTGCAAATTCAAAAAACAGTGAATAAATCTTCAATATGTATAGATAAGGGTGGAAACTTATATATACCAATTCCGTGAATTCAAGAAACCGTGCATTGTACCAAAGAAGAGAAAAATGTGAAAATTACAACTGTGAAATAAATCCCCTATACAGTATCTGTTTTGTTATAATCAGCACTATTCAAGCACAATTGTCTAATTTAATTTATCTATCAATTACATTAATCAACAAAGGTGAATGACAAAGGGGAATAAATTTTCTAAAAGCACAGTAGAAACTTGCAACATGATCATAATGGAGCATGGTCTAAAAACACATCAAGATTCCATGATATTAACAATATTGGGGGAAGCCCTCTTTTTTTATCATTTCACTTACTTTGTTTGTTCTCAAGAAGAAGGAAGGGACATTTCTAAGAATGAATGCATATCCTTTATGAAATTAAAAGAGCCCTATCTTAAGAACTGCAACAATTTTAGTTCCACTCCTCAGGCTCTGGGGAGCATCAAATTTTTTGATTTGCGTTATATTAAATTTACTCATATATGTTATGTGAAACAAGGGGCCCATGGGGCACATCGCTCACCCGAGAAGTCTTGACCATATGCTTTTTGTTCTTTACCAGATTTCCCCCTTTTATTACATATTGCGACCTCATCCTATCCCACAGATCACAATATAGACATTTTGAAATTTACACTACCCCAGGATGTTTCCACATAAGTTAAAGCTTTTCTGGCCCAATGGTTCTTGAGAAGAAGATTTACAAAGATTTTTCTATACATTTCTATGTTAAACTTTGATTCCCCATTGTGGCCCCGCCTTACCACCTGGGGTCATGATTTGTATAATTTAGAATCTACACTGGCCATGATGCTTCCACATAAGTTTCAGCTTTTCTTGCCCAGTGGTTCTTGAGAAGAAGATTTTTTAATGACACCACCCTATTTTTGTCTTGTCTTGATCATCTCCCCTTGGCCCTTCAATTTAACAATTTAAATTCCCCTCCACCAAAGAATGCCTTATACACTATACCCAGTTTGTTTAAACTGGCCCAGTGGTTCCTGAGAAGAAGTCGAAAATGTGAAAAGTTTACAGACAGACGCCGGACAAAATGTGACCAGAAAAGCTCACTTAAGCCTTCACCTCAGGTGAGCTAAAAATCATGGAAATTGGTTCAATAGGTTCAGCAATGAAGTTGACTTAATAGTATCTATTTGACCAGTCAAGAATGTAATGCAGTGTTTAACTCCTTGTTAAATTTGTGTTGTTACTATATTACTATTATATAATTGGAAACTGATTCATTGATTATCATTTAATCGTACATACTTATCAGAATGGTTTTTTAAAAATACATTTTGTGTTTATCCAAAGTTTGATTCCATTTTCACTTGATGGAAAGTAAGTACTATCTTTATGATTTTTACCAAATCCATTTCTCCCATGAAATTATTGCAATATTATTACCAACTATTTCTGGATTTTGATACAGCACTTCTGGGATTCCTGGGATAGTATCTCCTAATTTTTGTTTTCGAATTGCGTGGTTGTTCCATAAATCCATGAGCTCTTTGATATCTTTCTTTATGATGGGTAGGTATACAAACTGTATGCATAATCTAAAAAAGTTACAGATACTGCATATAATAATATTGTTTAAGAAACAATGGAAATATAGAATTGCCAATATACAGGTGCCAATTTTGACCAAATTTTAAGCAAAGTTCTTTTGGTTCATAATGAAGTAACTTGAAAGCTAACTTGTATATACAGAGATTCTAGTTATTCCACAATTGTTTGTGGGGATAAAAATTTGTGCACAAGAAGGATCGAACCATAAAATCCAAGAACATGCCCCCCATGTTTAAAAAATCTTTTTGATCTTTGACCTTCAAATTATTAGACATCAATTATTGAAGAGGAGTGGGATATATCCATTTTGTAATGTTCAAACAACATTAACAGAATACTGTGGTTTCATCAATATTTGTCGAGCACTAATTTTCGTGGATTTCGTTGTTGAGCAGATCCACAAATTCATATGTTCATTGTGATACGAAATATATGACATTCATTTGTATAGGAAATGCTTTTGTCCACAAAATCACGTATCCTCGAAAACGTCTGTTTTACAAAATCCAGGAAAATTGATGCCAACGAAAATTGATGAAACCGCATTAAAAACAACAATAGTAAAATAACCAAAATTATCCTAAAATGTCTCCAGCTTTAATATAGTTTTAGTTGTTTTTTAATCCATCCATTGGAAATTCAATTATGTTTACCCTATAGCGGGTATTTTTAGCGAAGTGTTAACTTTGGCTTTTTTTAGCAGTTTTGCAGTAATTCAGCTGCTCCAAAAAAAAAAATCATTAAATTTGCATTTCCTCAAATTTTTGTGAAAATACGCATTCAAACAAATATTAAACATACTGAAACTTGACTATTAAACGATGATTTACTTCTCTTTTGCAATGTCACAGAACTTAATGTCCACCAAAAAAATTGCAACAAAGATACTGGCATACATTTTAGCAACGTAAACAACTTCTGTGAGTCTGAATAGTTGATATGTAACTGTCGCTAGTGATAATTCCTATAATTTGAAGCAAAATGCATTATAACTCATCAAGCTGTTTTTCCCTCATTTCGACATTCCTTTTGTTCAATTCAACAGAGTAAAACAACTTTGTTTTTGATCACAAATACTGCTGCCATAATTTAAATTTCACTTAAATACTAGAAAATTATGTGTATTGTGTCTTAAAAAAAAATGATTATGTGCTTTTGTAGAACCTTTTTAATGTATTTGTATTTTTCATTCTAAGAATATATACACTTTAAAATGTGACTTCCAGTTGTGACGCAAAAACACACATGATCTGTTTTAAACATCTATCGAATAAATTCAAATAAACATCATTAAATTAAAATTTCAAGGATAACTAGTTTTCTATTTGTGTATCTTTTAGTATAATGTACTTGATCAAATGACACCAAATATGCAAGATATTGATACTGTGAAGATACTTTTGGATCAAACCTTGTACTACTCCATATGAGTTAAAGATAACAATTTTGACATAACTTTAGACAATTGATCTTACATGTGTAAATGGTTTCCCGTCTTCAACAAGTCCTCATATATCAATCCCTTTCAAAACAAATATTTAAAAGCATCAAAAAATGGATCATAATCTATAAAGCTCTTTGATTTAAAACAAAAGTCTCTGTCAAGACTATAGGTCTACTGGTTTGTATTACTAAGAAGAGGCCCATGGCCCTTATAGGTCACTTGAGCATCTGAGGCAACAACTTTCAAATTTTCAAATTTGGTTCATGTTTAAGCTAGATGCATTCACAACTTTAAAAGAGGCACTACAAATGTATTGCTAATCATAAATATACACTTAGCAATTGTTTAGTCTGTTTACTTAATACCCATAGGCAGGAAAAGGGAACAAAACATGCATTTCAACTAATCACTTATCAGTAATATTCAGCATTCATCAGAAGTGCCCCTGACCCTAAGTCTACACATTGCACAAAATTTGAAAAAGCACACATGCTTATCAAAAATGTTTGATTAATTAATATCAAGGAGCCGATTTCAAACAATTCGTTTTCAATATATAAGTAGAGCTCCCCCACTTTGGTATCCCTGACCCAGAGGCCTTGGGACTCAAAATTCTGAAAGAAGTGCCCTTAAACATCATAACTATATTGGTAGTTCATATTTCCAAGGAGCAGAGAAAAAGATTAAAATGTATTTTCACTATATCATCATTAGAGCCCAGTCCTAACACCAGAACCCCTGACAATGTGGCCATAAAATTCACAATTTTTCATGGAAGTCCTCTTACTCATAATAAGTATTTACTTACTTATTTCATTTAACACCCAGGAGCAGAGATGAAGATAATGCATTTTCAATATATAATGAATTTAGCCCAGCCCTAGAACCCCTGACTGTCGAGTCGTGAATTTCCTGACCCTGGGATGTAAATTTCACAATTTTGATCGAGGACTCAATGCTGATTACAATCATACCAATAATTTGAAAGCTTGATGTCCAGGAGTAAAGAAGATGATTTTTTTTCCATATTGCATTAAATTTAGTGGTTTTGGCCCAACTCCCCAGGCCCCTGGCCTGCTGGACAAGAATAATGAAATTCACAATTTTTGTTCCCCTTTACCCATAGATACTTTATGCCAATATTAGTTGCAATTAGTTCAGCGGTTACATGCAGAGAAGCTGAAAATGTTTAAATGTTCGCACACGATGACTGATTGCAATAGGTCACTCAGGTGACCTAATAAAGAAAGATAAAAGTAGCAGTTGAGACTTAAAAATTTACAAAAGCAATGAATAGAGTAATGATCCTTAATTATAGGTTTCTTTTTCTAGATAGATTGCATTAAGACTCCAACTGTAGGAGTTGTTTTTACTACAACTTTAAAGAATTTTAAATTTTAGTTACCATGGCAACATTAATCATCAACATTAAAGACACAAAACTGATAATTTTATATCTCAGTGTAGTCTACTTGCATGCCAAATTATATTATAATCAGACAAAAACTGTATTTGGAGTAGTATTTTGAAAGTTATTTCGCAGATATTTCTATTTTTAGCAACTAAGACAACATTATTTGTCAAAATAAAATATATATATATATATATATATATATATATATATATATATATATATATATATATATATATATATATATATATATATATATATATATACAGAATTATGAATCTTAGCATAGTCTTTTTGTGTGCCAAGTTATATTGATATCAGACCAATTATGTAGGATAAGTAGCATTTTAAAATATTCAACAGAAATTACTATTTCAAGGTATCTAGCAAAATTGTTCATTGATATCAAAAACAGATAGAAGAATTAGGTATCTTAGTGTAGTCTACTTCTGTTCAAAGTCATATTGAAATCAGACCAAAAGGAGTAGCATTTTGAAAAATTGTTTACAGACAGATGGACGAATGCCAGATACATTGCTATATCACACAAGCTCTTCTGGTCTCTGACCAAAAGATCTAAAAATGCAGTAAAAAGAAATGATAACATGTACATGTAGGTCAAATTGTACTACAGTAACTTGTTTTATACCTTGAAATGATGTATCCAAAAATCTGCTTTCATTTGTCGCAGCAGACCCCAAAATCTCTCAATTCTCTACAAAAAATTAACTAATGAAGCAAAAAAATTGTTTTGCGCTCCTAATGAACTAAATCATTCACTTCTAGTGAAATCATTCATTAAGCACTTTTAGTGAAATCATGCGTTTATTAAGAAACCAAACACAATTACTTTATATTGAATGTACTTAATACAATAAACAAATCCAACACTCACCTGATTTGAGGTGGAGCTTCCCAGAGTTACTGCATTAGAATTTCCTATGAGAAAAGCATGGAAGGTTGAAATAATTCCATTTTCAGTTCCTGGGTCTGCTCTTAGTCTTTGAGGACAACCTTGTAACACAAAAATGAAACTGACAGATTTCTCTTCTTCACCCCACAAATATACTTTTTTCACACACAAACAATGAGTGTTTTGTTACTGTAATCTGTTACTTTGACTACCTCCATAGTTAACTCTGATGTTTCCAAATTTTATAAGGAACTGAAATCATAATTTTATATTCAACAGAGCTTTTTTTCTATTGTACTATGCATTATGCCTGTTGCCTACATTATGTTACATTTGTGGGTTTCAATAAGTAACAATAAAACTTGGTTATAATTTAATACCTGACTAGAACTATTTAAAATTTACAAATATCCCCCCTCTAACTTTTCAGGTAAGGTGTAAACTAAGTCACTAATACTTCATGAACTATTGGTGTTCATTTTTTTTTTAGAGTTAGAGTGAAAATTTAAAGGTAATTGATCATTTCATATTTTTAATAAATGAATCTAAGACATAGTCCAATAAAAGATCAATACTAACACCAATTCTGAAATTTTCCATTCAGTGTCCTTGAACTTTCATAAAAATTCTGGGGTCTAAGTCATGATATACCCTCAGGTCATGAGCAATCTTTGAGTGAAATGCAACTAAATTATCAATAAGAAAGACATGAACCGGACAAAAATTATGCAAGTTTTCTTATAGGGACCTTCAACTTAAACAAATGACTTTGGGACAATGATGCACCCTTAGGTCATAATCAATGTTTTTGTAAAATCACTAGAAAGATATGGATTAGACATAACTTATGAGTACATGTATTGTTCTTTTCGTGAACTTGAACTTGTCCAAATTACCTTGGCTCACAAAAATATTTATCTTATGTAATTATATAAAGCTAACCTTCAAGGTCATATACAGCATTCAAATAATATTCAGCAATCACCTCTGGCCTTTTGTTTGTTATATCTGCGTTAAGCCATATTAATCTCCGAGAAAATCTATTGACAGAAATAAAAATCAAATATATTTCAAACAGCTGGAAAATAAGAAATACTTCATAAAACTGCTTCACAAATTATGGCTGGATGAAATGGCTGAGCTGTTCTTGAGAAAAAGATTTTTTCTGTATATGCAGCCTTTGTAAAAACTTAGGGTTCCCATTGTGACCCCTCTTACATGTATCCAGGGGGGGGGGGCATTCATGATAATGATATGAAAAATTTGAACCTTCTGCTTATACTGGTAGTGATGCTTTAAGCTATTCAGTCCCTAATGGGGACTAATTCAGTGATATTCAATACTTAACTGATATGTAGGCATTGAATACTCAATTTTTTTAAGACATATTTACCTTCTATTACTATCAGTATGCATATTGGGATGTGTCCTAATTTATGACCTTGAGTTTGGTAAGAGTTATCTCCCCTTTTCTTAATTAATAAAAAAAAATATTTCAAAAATATTTATTCGGTAAAAAAATTGTTTTCAATTGTCATTCTTTTTTTAATGTTTATATGCATCTTTCCACCGCAGGATTTATTGATATCTATATTATTTGAATTTTTATTTTGAGAAAAAATGCTTTTCCCCATAGACTTCAATGCAATTTTTCTAAATTAACTACTTCTTAATTATTGACATTTTAAAAACTTTATTGCGAGCAATGCTTTAATAAAATGTTAGTGTATTGTATATTTGACTGATATTTGAGGGTAGGGAATTAGGTCCCATTAGGGACGGAAATCTTTAATACAAGTTCCTTCTTTTGTTTTGGTCCGATGGTTTCTGTTAATATTTTTGAAATATGCCACATATTCATAATTATCAAACCCTTTAAATGGGGAGTGAAACTTCCCGTAAACAAACACATCCTTTACCATAGGATGATTTGTGGAAGATTTGGTTTGGGGTCAAAACTGTAACAAGTTTATATATGACAATCAAATATATGGGAGCCAGACAGTCTTTTATCAGATCAGCTCAAGCAATCACTTGTAGTGAGACTTTGGCTCAGGTGAGCTAACACTATCTTCAATCAAACGAGAAACTTTTCATCTTCTTGAATGACAATACTCTGAATTTTTTAATAATATATATACTTATATTTATATTTTCTCCTTTAAATCAAATTTCAAAAGAATCTATAATTATTTCTCATATCAATTTATAGTACCGGTATTATTACCATAGTGTAAGAGGCAAAGGGGTAGAATTCGTCTATTGATTCAGAATCTAAATTATGGTGATCTGCCCCTTAACATTACTGCTAAAAACCTGTCATAGTTATTTTGCAATTCTGTGATGAATTTAAGTTTTAATCCAAGGTTTCCTCCAACATCTACTGTTACAGTACTTGGATTTATCTGGTTCTCAATTTGAAAGTAGAAACGATAAGACTATGTACAAATGGAAATAGGATAATAACAACCTTTTGTCTTGCATCACAGAAAAAAGCAGATCTAAAATCATGGTTACAAGTAATAATTTCTTTTTATTAACTGATTTGGAATGGACATGATATAAAAAACAAGCATTCTGAGAGTATTGCATAAAGAATACATGTCCCCTACCGGGTTCCCCCTTTTATTTAGGATGTCATTTTATAATTTGCAAAACTCATGTCCAAGGTAAAACTGAAAGATTTTTAAGCTGTAAATGCCTTAAAACCAATAAGATAATCCACATTAAAACGAAAATTCAACTCATTTCTCCACCGTCTTTTCCTCGCTTTGTAATTGTATAAGTTTAATTTGGTGCATCGTTTCCGATGATGAATTTGGTGTTTCAATATATGTGACTGTTTTTAATTTACTATATTATTTTTTACAACATTTTGTACATATTTTCAACGCTGTGAAAAAATTTAAAGGACAAATACCATTCAGGTTACCTGTTCAAATATAAATCTATGAGAAATATTGCCGATTTCTGAAACAAATTGGTATTATTTATCCTTAAGGGATATTTGATAAACAAATTATTTCCTCACTTAGAAAATACTTGTACATTGAAGTTGTAATTAAACACTTCCTGAATTATTCTCATTTTTATCCATAAAATTGAGAACTTACCCATCAATACATCCATGGATACTAATTCCATAGGGCTTGAGCTTGTCGTATCCATCTGTAATGCAAAAAAATATTTCATTTACATATGCATGACCACTTCATTATACTAAATGCCAACAAATATTCCTAACACCTTACATTTGCAAGATTTTTTTATTTAAAAAAGACACAGTATTTCACTATTTTCACCTGCAATAACATCTGAACACCATTATAAAGTGAAATTTAAATATTATTTAAAAAATTACTCTTACTATGCTTACATAACAAAACCAGAAGTCTCTGTCGAGACTGCAGCTCTACTGGTATGTACTTATCAAAAACCATCGAAATTAAAAACTGATGCACTATTCTATGTATCTTAGTGTAGTCTACTTGTGTGCCAACTTATATTGAAATCAGACCAAAACTGTAGAAGAAGTAGCATTTTAAAGGAATTTCACAGAAAATTCTATTTTTAGTAACCATGGCAACACCGTTCATCGAAATTAAAAACCGATGCACTATTTTATGTATCTTAGTGTAGTCTACTTGTGTGCCAAGTTATATTGAAATCAGACCAAAACTATAGAAGGAGTAGCGTTTTAAAGGAATTTCACAGAAAATTCTATTTATATATAGTAACCATGGCATCATCGTTCATCGAAATTAAAAACCGATGCACTATTTTATGTATCTTAGTGTAGCCTACTTGTGTGCCAAGTTCCCATTAGAAAACATACTGAAGCGCTGCTTTTTAAACCACAATTACAAATTGTTTTCTATGCATGTAAAATAACACGCATCCATAAGCAAGAGTTATCCTTCCATTATTGCCCTTGAAAATATTTTTTAATGATACAAAATATTTATTAAATGTTTATAAACAATACTACATCTGAAATTTCTTTACAATGAAAAGAATTATACTTTAAGAGGTAGAGATTTCTCAATTTACACTGTTTAAAGGATCTGAGTATAAATGTATTAATTTAAATTAAATTATTATAAATCATTAATGTACATACAAGCAATAGAAACTATAAATCAACATTTGTACTTTAGAATAAGTTTGATTAAGTTAACAACGAAATGGTTGGCGTGACTGAAACTTGTAAACTCTGACATGGCAATTCACTGAATTTTTCATGAAAAAATGTCTAAGGAAAGTTATCTTTCTTATAAGAAGAGTTATCTCTCTTATCAGAGGGATGATCCACCTTAACAAAATTGAATTTACAACTAACAGAGGATGATCGATTCCATATAAGTTTTGTATTTTCTAGCATAGCAATTCTTGTGAGGAAGATTTCTATAAGAAGCAAATTGTGATGTGAAAAAAAAATACAGACAGCTGGAGAGGTCTGTGTCAGATCAAAAGTGATCAGAAACACTCACTTGAGCCTTTGACAAAGGTTCTGGTGAGATAAGAATCAAAACAAGCTTATCTTCATATTCAATCCATTTTCAGCACAGAAGTTACAATTATGTCCAAATGTAAAATAAAGATCTCATCCTTTAGCTACAAAAATACATAATTAGACTAGACTTACCTAGATGCCACACAAAATTAGGACCCTGAAAATGTCAATAAACAATAGTAATATATTACATTTTCTCCTCTCTTTATAATTAAAATTAACAGTAATGTGTACACAGTGGTCAATATGTAATATCGCAAGTACCTAGCAGTTATTTAACTTACTACCGCTCTTTTGCGAGAGAGTTGAGAAAGCTCTAGATTTTAGTTACACACGTTATTGTTTACAGTAGCAACAATCAGATGATTCAATCAATTCAATGCCAAAGGAACACTGTATTGCCAAGAACTGAACTCCAATTAGTAGATTGTCAACTAAGGAAAGTTTAGAATATTTTATCAGCTTTAATTAAAATGTGAAAATTTTCAATGAAATAGCAACGATATCAAGTATTGCAATGCATGAAACTTTACAAATGTTTGCTGAGGATGTAAAAAATTTTCTTGACATCTATTTCATCATACCTTACTAAAGTATTGTCTCCTTCTCAGTCTTCTCTGTTTTCTCCTTTTTACACCATCTTCATCTAAAAGCCTCACCATGTCTCTTGAGATACATCTAGTTGTGTAATGAATGTATAACATGTATGTACACATAATTATGTTACATGGGCATAAAACAAAGACCCCCTGAAAATTCCACAGGTAGGATCACATACATTGGAGGAGTAAGGATCCCCTGTTAACAAACATCACTCTTATAAACTATGTTATTTCTATTTGTCAAATAAAAAACAATACGTTCATATGAATTTTCAGTTTATTTAGCAGAAACATTGTCAAGTTTTGTATTTCTAAAGGTTAAAATATTGAATGTGTACCTGGTAATATTCCAATGAAATTTCATTTTCAAAGTCCTTCTCAGGTTTTCAGATCCAGAACATCCATTCTGAACTTCTCTCTAAAAATTTAAATCATAACTGCTTTGTCAGCTCCATCATATGTCTTATTTCAGTTATGATAATAATATCTCCTTTAAAAAAAAAATTACATACACACACACCCTCACTAGGTCACCTTTAAGGTATTTAGACACAGATTTGAAGTTAATTTTTCTGTATAGTATCAAGAATTATATATTTTAATAGCATTTCAAACAAAAATTAATTAAAAATGTTATTTCATTTAAAAGTTATTAAAACTTTTTTGGGAGGGTTGATTGACATATTCTTGCGATATCACAAATTTGAAATTTATTCTTAATCTTTAGGAAAAGTGGCAATCTTATTGTGTATTAATGAGAAACATTAAAACTTAAATCAATAAAAATAATCTTATTCAGAGTTGAAATATTAGAATATTAGAAAGCAAAACTCCTTCACAAGTATCATCATTCCTGTACAGAGTTTAGCACATCAAGCACACTAGTGTTATGTACAGTTTTTGTAAACAGGGCGAAAGCTTTGTTATTGTTTTGAGTTTTGTTTCACTGGGTGCGTTCAATCGCCAAAGTCTGCTCACCACAACTGCACGGGCTGACAATATATTGCGTGTTTGTTTTGCTTTCGAACATGTCTCAGTGAATTTTCTGGATTTTAGTATTCATATTTTTCATTAATACACAACAAAACTGCCACTTTTCCTAAGGATTAAGAATAATGTTAAAATTTGTGAAAGTGCAAGGAAAAATTTAATAACTTTTAAATGAAATAAGATTATAAATTAATTTTTGTGTGAAATGCTATCAAAATTATATAAGTCGTAATCTTATAGAAAAAAATATTAACTTCAAATCTGTGTCCAAGTACCTTTACACACATATAGCCAATTCTTTAAAAAAAAAACAGGAACATATATTTAAATGAGAGCTTTTATGCTTAATTACCTGTGCAGCTTTAAAAAGTTCCTCTAAGTTAATATTTGCACCCCTACGTCGTAATCCCAATCCAGGAATTATCTTCCTTTTAAGCTGATTGTAACTGAAGAAATTATATGTAAAAATAATACTTAGTAAAGGTGCTTCACTGTTTTCCTATAGCAAATGTTTGCAATTTAAATCATCACAAATATTTGTTAACAATGAAAGTACTGTTATTCTAGGAAAATGATTTATTAATTTTTTTATCATGCTTTCAAAAAGGATTTTAATCAAAATTACCATTGCATTAAATGAAAATTCTATGCAGATAATGACAAAGAAATCAGATTTCAGGATTTCTCAGGGTAAGATCTACATAACCCCCAAAAAGTCTAACAAGTTAAACAAGAGGCCCAAGGGCCACAGCGCTCACCTGGGCACATCAGGCTTGAATTTACTCCCCCCGCCCTCCTCCTCCAGGCGTTCATCATTTGAACAAACTAGAATCTACACTACCTGAGGATGATTCCATATAAATATCTTATCATGGCTTTGAAGTACATGTACTTGAAAAGAAGATTTTAAAAGGTTTCCCTATACAGCTTACTCCACATATATTGAACTCGCTTATTTTGAAATTCCGCTTATTTTGAAATGGAAATAAATCCCCAGTTTTTGCCTCTCGTATTCTTTGCATTAAAATTACGGTTATATTGAAATCGGATATATTGAAATTTCGCTTATATTGAAGCCACTTATAGGTCCCCACAGGTGATAATGAGTTGTTTTCTTGAAGTACTACCTGGCGGCTGTCGTTAAGCTTGATGACAGTAATTACATGTATGTCTGATTGACCACTTGATATACACAGGTGTGAATAATTAAGTTTTCACCTTAATAAATGTTTTTTTATACTGCATTCTCTTACAAAATAAAATTCTTCACAATTAAGTTCTTTGCAAAATAAAATTCTTTGCGAAATATTAAATTCTTTGCGTCTATGTATATAATACGGACATATTAAAAAGCAGCTAAATGTAATATAGTGTAATGGCTAAATGTAGAGCACCTACTAGTGATACCCCCACAGCCATACATTTTCTCCTTTCCTGTTACAGATTTGGTGCCGTTGACCACCCCTGGAGGTGAAAGTCCTGCCAGGGGCAATAAAAAGTCTTCGAGGGCGAAGCAAAAAATGGTTACATAGAGCACTTTGAAATTAAATGCCACTGGTGACAGGTGAAAGACCTGCCAGGGATGAGCCTGGGTTGGGGTCTTTGGAGGACCAAAGACCTTTAAGGAGGGAGGAATTAATGGCTTTAAAATGCCTTCCTGTTTAGTAACCCCCACAGATCTAGGCAAAAAAACATAACTTTGAAATTAAATACGTACTGTTAATGGCTATTGAAATGCCTAAATTCGAAATAACTAAGGGATTATCCGAGTATACATACGATGAAATACAAGCAGCGTTCAGTAGTACTCAACCGTTTATGTCCGGTGAATTTTCTCCAAAACGTAAATAAATGCGATCGGGGAATAATAATGAGGTTGAAGATTGACTTTTCAATGAAACAGAAATAAAAAAAAATATTAAAACTTTTAAGGACTCATATCCTATGTAATCTGTTCAATGTTATAGATAAACAATGACAACATTAATTTGTTCGGGTTTGTTCTTCTTTATTTTTGATCGGGTTTGAACTTGTCAAAATGGCGGCTGTACAATTTCGCTTATATTGAATTACGGATATATTGAAATAATTTGCATGGTCCCCTGAATTTCAATATATCCGGAGTAGGCTGTATATCCCTATGTAAAACTTGGGTCGGTCATTTTGGCCCCATCATAGCCCCGGGGGTGATAACTTGAACAAACTTGAATCTACACTACCTGAGGTTGATTCCACATGAGTTTCATCTTTCCTGGCACAGTGGTTCTTGAGAAGAAGATTTTTAAAGAATGTTCTTATATACCGGTATTCCTATGTAAAACTTTGGTCAGCCATTTCGGTCCCATCCTTGCCCCGGGGATCATGATTTGAGTAAATTTGAATCTACACTACCTGAGGATGATTCCACATGAGTTTCATCTTTCCTGGCCCAGCGGTTCTGGAGCAGAAGATTTTTTAAAAATGCCATTAATTTTTAACAAATTGTTGATTATCTCCCCTTGGAAAAGGGCGTGGCCCTTCATTTGAATAAACTTAAATCCCCTTCACCCTAGAATACTTTGTGCCAAGTTTGGTTGAAATTGGCCCAGTGGTTCTTGAGAAAAAGATGAAATTGTGAAAAGTTTACAACGACAACAACGACAATGACAACGACAACAACAACGACAGACAACGGACAAATTTTGATCAGAAAAACTCACTTGAGCCTTCGGCTCAGGTGAACTAAAAATCTTTTCTAATTTTCTTTAAGTTTATGAGTTAATTCTTAAAAAATACATCAATCAATTTACCTTACATTACAATTAAATCTTCTTTGGATCAAATAATGTATAAGTCTGTAACTATATCCTTTGAAAAAATAATCTTTGATCTTTTCTTCTATATCTGAAAAGTACCGAAATACCCTTAAGGCCAAATTTTCTCGGGCACCATCACATCAGTTAAAAACAGCCACATTTTTCAATTTATTGACATTCTAAAAAGGGAAGTTACTCAATTTTCTATTTTTTAAGTTGAAAAAGAAAATTTCCCTTTTCATCATGTTCATGAATGATGAGATAGAAGTTTTTATTAGAAAAAAATCAGTCTTCTAAATTTTACATTTTATTAATTAATTTTTAAATGAAATATT